CCAAAAGCACAAACAACAAAAGTAAAAATATATAAATTGAGCTACATCAAAATTTAAAACTTCTGTGCATCAAAGGACTTAATCAACAGAGTAAAAAGGCAGCCTAAGGAACAGGAGAAAACATTTGCAAATCATCTATCTGATAAGGGTTTTGTATCCAGAATACATAAAGAACTACTGCTCAACCACAACAACAAAAATAAATGAATTTAAGTGGCCAAAGGACTTAGTTATTTCTCCAAAAAAGGTATAAAAATGGCCCACAAACATATGAAAAATGCTCAACATCACTAATTAGGGAAATGTAAATCACAACCACAAGGAGATACCATCTCATGCCCATCAGGATGACTACTATATAAATTCTTAAAAAAGGAAAAGAAAATAACAAGTGGTGAGGATATGGAGAATTTGGAACCCTTGTGCAATGTAAATGTAAATGGTACAGCAGCTATGAAAAACTATGTGATGGTTCTTCAAAAAATTTAAAAAATAGAATTACCATATGGTCCAGCAATTACACTTGGGCTATATATCCAAAAGAATTGAAAGCAGGGTCTTGAAGAGATATTTGTGCACTCATCTTCACAGCAGCATTATTCGCAAGAGCTAAAACATGGAAGTATCCCAAATGTCTCTCAATGGATGAATGGATAAACAAAAAGTGATATATCCATGTAATGGAATCTTATTCCACCTTTAAAAGGAAGGAAATCCTTTTAAAGGATTTACATGCGACAACATGGATGAACTTTCAGGACATTATGTTAAGTGGAATAAGCCAGTCACAGAAAGACAAATACTGTATGATTCCACTTATGTGAGGTATCTCTATGAGTTTGACTACTCATAGAAACAGAAAGTAGAATGGTGGTTAGCAGAGGCTAGGAGCAGAGGGATGCAGGCAGTTGTTATTTAATGGCTACAGACTTTCAGTTTTGCAAGATGAAAAAATTCTGAATCTTGGTTGCACAACAATGTGAATATACTTAACCCTGCTGAACTGTACACTTAAGAATGGTTAAGCTGGTAAATTTTATGTTATGTGCACTTCACCACAATTAAAATTTTTTTTAACTTTTAAAGCAACTATAGTGAACATTCTTAGAGATATAGGAGATAATATTATGTCCACAAACAAGAACAGAATGCTACAAAAAAGAACAAAAAATTGCTCTTAGGGGTGAAAAATTATTAGAAGAGATATTTAAAGTCTCTAATAGAAAGTTGAAAGATAAAGTTGAGGTAATGTTTCAGAAAACAGAACAAACCTTTTTAAAAACAGAAAATTGGAAGGAACATTTTGAAAGATTAGAGGATCAATCCAAAAGGTCAAACATTCAACTAAAATAGATATGGAAAGAAACAAAAGCAGAAAACAGAATGGAGGAAATCAGCACAAAGAAATGCCCACAAAAGTGATTTCCAGATTTAAAAAAAATTGATTTCCAGATTAAAAGACTCACCAAGTGCCTACAGTAAATGCACATCATTATGAAACTTTAGCTCCGGAAGATCTTTAAAACTTCCAGAGAGAAAAATCAGGTCATATGCACAGTATCAGGTATGAATGTCATTTGACTTTCCAACACCAACAATGGATCTTCTCCTTACAATTCCAAGGGAAACTTTTTCCAATCTAGAATTCGATACCCAACCAAACTATCTATCAGAGCTACAGGAAAACAGCTATGCCAAAATGAGGAAATAAACTAAGGGGGCAGGAGAGGATGGGGAAGCCAGGAATACAGAAAACAGGATTCAACAGGAAAGAGGCAAAGGAAATTCCCAGGATGGCAGTAGGGAAAAGTCCCAGGACAACAGCTAAGCATGTCTGTAGAGTAACCAGTACAGATTGGAGCCCAGAAAGGATGTCTCCAGGAGGGTGACTCTAAGAAACAGAAACAGACCAGACAGACCACCTAGTGTGTTCAACCAGGGTGGACATTTGGGGGATGACTTAATGACAGATAAGTAAAGGTTTTTTTTTAATTAAGTGATAACTTATTTCTGGAAAAGCAAAATAGTTGTCCAATAGTGGAAATGGAATCATAGCACACTTCAGCATTCAGCTTTGAACAATATTTGCTTCATCATAATAATGAAACACTGAATATTGACAAAATAACAACAACAAAATGTCCTAATTAATTGGGAGGAAGGGCAGAGGTAAAAATGTGTGTGATGGAGTAAATAAAAGGGCATTAACTCTTCATCTCCCACAGCAGGGGGACAATAGATAAAGGTTTAAAAACTGAAAATCTGAATTACAAACATTATTTAAAAATATGGGGAAATATGACACAAGTGCCACATGAAATGTATAAAATAGTGGCTATCTTTGGAAGTAAGAATTGAAAGTGACAAGGGTGGGCAGGGGGTTGCACTCCTCTCTATTAGAAGCCTATACTATAGGTCAGCTATTTGACTTTTTTAAATAATGCAAGTAAAAAATGATAGAATTAAAAAGTAAACTGCAAAGGAAAAAAAAACCAAAACAACTACTTACCAGTCTATGAAGTAGTGGTGACTAATGCAAAGGTGGGACCTCCTACCAGGGACAGGACTGATGGGAAGGAAGGTTTAAGGGGAAGTCAGCCTTGAATTCTGAATGAACAGGACAAGGCCCGCTTTTCTGGTCATCAGAACAGAAAGCACAGTGCAAGCTCTGCAGGCAGCTGAGCCATCTAAAGGAACACATTTGGAGGGAGAAGAGCAGAAGGCCCAGGCCAAGCCTGGGGCTTTAAGGAGGAGCCTCCGAAGTGAAGAGGGGTCCCAGGGGCTGAGGAATGTGGGAATCCTCAGTCAAGGAGGTCAAAATAAATTGTTAATAAGGTATCAAAAGGGCTAACAATGTCAAATGCTGCTTTGAGGTCCAGGAGACTTAACATAAAAACAGACTAACACACACTATGATCCCACAAAGTCCCAGGTGACCCCCAGAGAGGCTTTCCAAAAGCAATGGGAGCAGAAGCTATGCCACCAGGACTAGGTGAGCAAGCCTAGGGAGGGAGCAGAGGCTCTTGGGTGAGGCCTGCACCGACCTGTGGCTCCTGATCTCTTCTTGTTCTCTGGGAGGCAGGAGGCTTAGTTACCAAAAATGACACATGCAATACCTGGAACATACTTACACTAAAAAATGGTTGTTCATCTGAAACTCACATTTAACTGTGGTGCGACCTGTGTCCTTATATGTTACCTCTAGCAACCTCAGGAAGCTAGGCCTTCATGAAAACTTGGCTGTTTTATTTTAGCCTTGCAAATGGACGCTTTTCTGCTGGCCACTCCCACCAGCCCCCTGCCATTTGGGAGGAGGGGAGCTCAAAGGCGGCAAGGTCCAGAGGGTGTTCCTAGGAGACCCAAGGAGGGAGACAGCAGAATTTTGCAGTGAGCTGACCTTCAGCTCAAAGCCGTCTAAAGTCCTTTCTGTAAAGGGAGTTGGTTGAGTTAATGTGTCCATTGGCCCCAGAGGCAAATCTGGGGCCGGGAAAAGCACTCTAGTGATCACTGTGCTTCTCAGACACTGCTCTGTCAGGGGGAAATGGGGCCATCTGCAGGGTGGGAGCCCTGCGAGACATCTATGTGCTCCTGTGATTTTTTTTTTTTTTTTTTTTTGCCACAAGAACACATTACTCTCGTAATCATCAAAAGGCAAGAAAGACATTTCCATATTGAAAAGAAAAGGAAATGAGGCTTCAGTGGACTCTGTGAGGCCCCCTCCAAAGCTAAGATTCTGCAATTTAATTTCCTGTACTTCATTTACGTGTCATTTTAGGTGCATTCAGTGATGCAACCCTATTGTGATTGTTTTTTTTTTTTTTTGCTTTTATTCCCCAAGGACTCTGAACCTAGCCACTTACCACTCTTGCCTGCTGGCCTTGAATGCGGCCCAGCTGTGGCGTGTACCACCTTTCCACTGTCCCACTCTTGGAGGTCACTTGGTTTGACCTGGCTGGGCCCAAGCCTCTGGGCTCATTCCTGACCTGGAAGATTCTCCAGGTAACTTGTTCTGAAGCCAAGGAAAGAACTTGGGGGTTGGCTCTGTGAACACCCAAGGCCGTGAGTCTCCTGGGCCCCCACTGGAGCAGACCAGAGATTCTAAGGAGACGCTGGCTTCACAAATCCTGAAAGGGGGAGATGTGCCCACACACCCAGGAACAACTGTCTCTTTCCTTCTACACTAGAACCCCTCCCTAGTAAGTGCCCCCATTGGAGGGTCCCAGGGGAGGAAGGAAAATGCAGTATATGGGAAACTTACAGAAGGTCAAGTGCCTGACTGCTCTTGGGTCATCCAAACCTGAGCAGAGCCCTATTACACCTCCTACCAGCCCTGTGACCTTGGGTAAGTCACTTAACTGAGCCTGAATTGTCCTGAGGATTAGAGATAACGAATACAAACCCTCAGGGTGTTGGGGAACACAAGAGGAGTTCACACACAGGAGTTTGATCTAACTGGAAGGTTCCCCCACCCTGGAAGCCTACACTCCCTGCTCCAGTCCAGGGAGGGACACTACCAGCCTGTGGAGCAGTGACTGGCCTCCCAGCTCAGGCGCAGCAGCCTGGCCCATGACCTTGGAAGAACCTGGGAGAGAGCTTCACCAGGCAACAGTACTTTTCCACTGCACTGCTCCGCCACCTCTGCCGGCTTTGTGCTGTGCAGACAGGAGGCAAAGTGCGCCAGACTGGCCCCATCGTGAACCCACCCAAAATCACTTTGAGCTGCGGGTAGGGCCATGCTGTGGGGTGAGGGGCAGCAGGAATCCTAGAAAGAGAGGCCTGAGATCCCGAATATGCCGAGGGAAGATTAGAGACCACCGATGAGGCCTGAGAAATTTGTATTGCCTAAGCCCTCCCGTACATTTCAAAAGATTCCTACTCCTCACCCGCCTCGTCCACCCCCACTCCTCCAATAACAATGATTAAACCCTTCCCACGGCGCCAGCGCTGGGTGCTGAACTAGGAGCAGCCCTAGCCTGCGCGGGGGAGGAGAGAGAGGAGGGCGAAGGGAGGGGACGAGAGAGCTAGCGGTCCCGCCCGGTGATGTAGGCAGCCCGGGGAGGTGGAGCCGCGACGCCTGAAGGAGTCCCCACCGCAGTCGCGCTTTCGGTCCACCCCTCGGAGCAGCCAGCCGCCAGCCCCGGCTCCGGCGGCCTCCGTGCCGCCACAGTTTGAGCGGCCGAGACTGCGGGATCTCCCCTGTTCAGGCCTGGGGGCGCCTCCACCACGCCCAGCCCCTGCCCCTCCTTGCTTCCCGGACGACTGAAGCGATTCCCGGGGGAAGCTGTTCCCGGACGCTCGGCCGCCGCCCGGGCATCTCGGCAGCCAGCCCGGCTGGCCACTGGGCGCCGACTGACTCTGGTGGAGCCCAGCTTCTCGCGACCCCGGGTCCGCTAGCTTCTACACGCCCTCCCCTCCCCCGGCCGCCGGGCAGGTCGCCCGTGAGCTCCCGGTGCCCCCAGCAGCTTTGGCCGCTGCTCTCACCGCCGCGATGCTGCCCTGGAGACGTAACAAATTCGTGCTGGTGGAGGACGAGGCCAAGTGCAAGGCGAAGAGCCTGAGTCCGGGGCTCGCCTACACGTCGCTGCTCTCCAGCTTCCTGCGCTCCTGCCCGGACCTGCTGCCGGGCTGGCCGCTCGAGCGCCTGGGCCGCGTGTTCCGCAGCCGGCGCCAGAAAGTGGAGCTCAACAAGGAGGACCCGACCTACACCGTGTGGTACCTGGGCAACGCAGTCACCCTGCACGCCAAGGGCGACGGCTGCACCGACGACGCCGTGGGCAAGATCTGGGCGCGCTGCGGGCCGGGCGGGGGCACCAAGATGAAGCTGACGCTGGGGCCGCACGGCATCCGCATGCAGCCCTGCGAGCGCAGCGCCTCGGGGGGATCGGGGGGCCGCAGGCCGGCGCACGCCTACCTGCTGCCGCGCATCACCTACTGCACAGCGGACGGGCGCCACCCGCGCGTCTTCGCCTGGGTCTACCGCCACCAGGCGCGCCACAAGGCCGTGGTGCTGCGCTGCCACGCCGTGCTGCTGGCGCGGGCGCACAAGGCGCGCGCCCTGGCCCGCCTGCTCCGCCAGACCGCGCTGGCGGCCTTCAGCGACTTCAAGCGCCTGCAGCGCCAGAGCGACGCGCGCCACGTGCGCCAGCAGCACCTCCGCGCTGGGGGCGCTGCCGCCTCGGTGCCCCGCGCCCCGCTGCGCCGGCTGCTCAATGCCAAGTGCGCCTACCGGCCGCCGCCCGCCGAGCGCGGCCGTGGGGCGCCGCGCCTCAGCAGCATCCAGGAGGAGGACGAGGAGGAGGACGGGCACACGCCGGAGCCTGAGGAGGGGGCTCCCCAGCGCGAGCGGCCCGAGGTGCTCAGCCTGGCCAGGGAGCTGAGGACGTGCAGCCTGAGGGGCGCCCCGGCGCCGCCGCCCCCCGCGCAGCCCCGCCGCTGGAAGGCCGGCCCCAGGGAGCGAGCGGGTCAGGCGCGCTGAGAGCGGAGGGGCAGGACCTGCGGCCCCTTACCCGGCCTGACTCACAGCCTCCACCCCCGGCCCTGCCCGCTTCGGCCCCGCTCTGGTCCCCAGGCCCCTGCCTCCCTCACGGTCTCTGTTGTCCACCGCGCGCCACATCCTGGCTCGGGGTGACGCCTGATATGTCCTTAATTATCGGGGGATGAGTGTGGGGCACCTCTCCCCCCATCTGGAGTTTTCTTCACTGTGGGATTGACCCCCATGCTTTACAACGAGTCTCTTTGCCCGTAGACCATGCCCTCCACCCAAAACATCCTCTCAGGATAAGGGGGGAGATGTTTCCAGAAATCCAGGAGGGTGGCCTTGTACTTTGGCCTGTCTAGCCTTCCTGCCTGGGGCAAGACCAGCCCTGGGGAGACATTCCTGTAGGGGAATAATAGTGGCCCTGAGAATTGAGGCCAGGCCCAAGGTGGGAACGGACTCTGCTGGTTTCCCACAGGGAGGAATTCTCAAGCCCTCTGCCTGGCCTCACTGCCCCTTGGAAGACTTCTGGGACTTCACTGTTCTGCCTCTGGAGAAGACTGGGTGGGATGGTCTTGCCAACCCAGATGATAGGTTAGGCCAAGTAACAGCTCTCTGCCCCGGGCAGCTGCCCAAGCCTGTGCCCTGGCACATGGCCCCCCACAGAATTCCTCACCCACCCCTTCTCTCTGCAGACAGATGTGTGTGGTTCCCCACTCGGTGCCCCACAACCAGGGACCAAGATGGGGCCTCCAAAGGAGGTAAGGAGAACCTTTGGCAGGTGCTTGAGGACACTGAGTACTCAGAAAGTGGACACAGGAGGGTGGTGTCCCCAAGCCATGGCTTGTCAGAGCGGGAGGGTCCTGCCAGCAGCTGGATTCTCAGAGCAGGATGAGGAAGGAGGGTGTGTTGACCCAACAGAGGGAGCGGGCCCCTGCCCAGTTCTCTCAATAAGGCCACATAAAGCCCAAAGATCTATGTATCAACTGATCATTGTAAATAAAGTGGACCTGCTTTTTCAGCCCTGTCACCACTCCTGCGTTGTGTTTGATGTGAGTGAAAAGATTATCAGAACCCTAAGGACCAAGAGAAGACCCCAGGAAGCCACTCCCTTCAACAGCTGGAGCCAGTTCTCAGAGGCAGGATCGGGGGTGAGGGGGCAGAGGAGGGCTGCCAGGAAGCTGTTCCCTTAACATCAAGAAAAGGAGATAGCAGCAGGTGCCTTGTCTGAAAATCACCTGTGCCAAGCCTTGGAAGCATGCCGGCTGTCTGTCTCAGCCTCCCAGAAAGTCTGTCTGCCTGGGCCCTCAGGTGCAAGTGTCCCTAGGGCATGTGGCAGGGAGGGAGCACTGGGCTGGGGGCGTCTTATCAGCCATGTATCTTCAAGACACCTGAGTAGTCAAAGCATGTGGTATGCACTGGTTCCTGGGGGGTAAAAAGGGAGGCAGGTCGTAAGAAAAGGGGTGGGCAACCCAATTTTCTTTCAGAGCAACTGAAGAAATCTCTCCCAACCTTTATGACAATGTAAGTCTTGAGCTGGGCACTGATCCCAGAGTTATCCAGAGCCCAGGCGAATAGCCTCTGCAGTGGCCAGCAATCAGGATTATTCTGTTTCCTGGAGCTGTTGGGACAGAGGGTACCACTGCCACTTCACCCTGGTGAAACCAAGGCTGCATCAGGCGACTGTGAAGGGGAAAGCTGGGGTTGATGCCCCATGTTCAAGCAGGAGGGGCAGTGATAAGGACCCACCAGGCAAGGGGGCCCTGCACATTCATTGATACCCTCTTATTCACTGCCAAGGATTTTGGTGTTTCTTCCCATTTGCAGGAGAAGAGGAAGTGGGAATCTGTCAGGCCTGGGAGAGGAGGATGGGCTGCAGGCGCGGCAGCTCTGGTGTCTCAGAACCTTACTCGGAAACAAGGTGGTGATCATGCCCTCTTTAATCAGATTCATTCAGCATTTACTGAGTGCCTGCCTTGGGACAGGCACTGAGCTTGCACAGGGGTCCAGGAGTCCCTGCTTTGTGGGATGGGACTTAGAGTCTCAAGTGAAATGCATATGATTAAAGGAGCAGTTGCTGTATGATAACCCACAGGCTCGCAAGCGGCCTCAGCCTCTGCTCCTCCACTTTTCTCTGACATCCTCCCCAAAGACACACACACAGCCACTCCTTTCCTTCCCTTATTCAAGTTATGCTCTTTAGACCTGGAGTTAAAAGACTGGGGTGAGTGGACTGTCTCTGCCTCCTTACTAGCTGTGTGATGTTGAGCTATTCACTCAGCCTCTCTGAGCCTCATCTTTACCAATGGTAAAATGGGGATAAAACCTACCTCATGGGTGGAGTGAATAAATCATGTCTCTGAAAATGCTTTGGTAAATAAGAAAATACCCAGCACATGTGGAGAATGCCCATCTTACCCAGGGGGCCCTTCTCTACATTAGGATTTTCGTGTGCCACTTCACTCTCCCTGGTGATTATACATTGTTTTACTGGCCACACCTGCATTTTCAAGGCATATGGTGGGAGTAGGACCTGATCCAATTTCCCTCCTCCAGTGGGTTGAGGATGAGATAAACCTCAGGTGATCCAGCACAGCACCACCTGCCACTAGGCCACACAGTGGGGTGTTTGGGGCACCTCCAGCCACCAGGCCTCCAGCATCACTGCAACCAAGGGAGGGAGACCTGGCCTGGGAAACCACACCCCCTCCATCTCTACAGGTACTTTGCTTTCTCCCCTCATCTTAGGCACAGATGCAGAAAAGTCCTGAGCTGCTGATCAAGCAGCCTGGTACCCCCCGCATCTCTTCTGCATACTTCAGATTCTGTAAAATGGAAATGGGGGTTGGGGTGGACCAGTGTTTTACAAACTGTGATTCTCCAAGTCCTCAGTTCCCCAGGGGTGCCCCAGAAGTTGCTGTGGGGAGGTATGGAGAGATGGAATGGGCAGTCCCCACAGTCTGCTTGAACTGAATCAGTTTGTCTGTGTTCTCTTTGGGGTTCCTGTGATTCCATTTGAATAGTTGGATCCTATTGATTTTTCTTTTTTTAAGTTTAAACCAGTGGGTGACAAGCTCTATAAACTTGCCTTCCAGCGCTGATGCTGCATGCGTCCAAGGTCTGTTGGGCCACCTAGGCCTGAGAAGTAATGCTCAAGGGTGTAAACATGGCAACGAGGGCTTTCCAAGAACAGGCAACCAAGGACAATGTGGGAAGCATGTCCCCAGCTGAGCCAGCCACTCGGGCATCAAGCCTTTTCCCAGGACCTCCGGGGCCTTATTTTCTACTCTCTTGACCCCACTCCAGAGGGCTAGGCTGTGACTAATGTGACCTGATAGACAAGAGTCGGCTGGCCCAGCCACTGACGCCATCCTGACCCCCCACTGCTCCTCCACACTGGATCTGCTTCCTGTTCCCCAGACGCCATGTGCTCTGCAGGCGTCTAGGCTTGTACCCATGTTCTTCTCACCACCTGGAGTGTCCACTGCGGCTACACATTTTCAAATCCCACCCTTTCCTCGAGGCCAGCTGGAATTCCACCTCCTCAAAGCTTTCCTGAATGCACACCCCTCCTCCACTCCTGCCAAATCTAGACATGGTCTCTTCTCAAACTCCCACAGGACGTGGCCTCTGCTATTCTTGCTGCCTCATCATGTTACAATGTTTTTATGTGAGTGTCTTGTCTCTTATATTGATCTAGCTGTACTTCCCACCCCCTTCAGTACCTTGACCACAGCAAGGAAGATGATAATCGGAGCTTAGTAATAATTTGTTGAATGAATACATGAGTGAATGAGCCAGATGGAAGAGCCATCATGGGCTAGGAAACCAAGTGGGTGGAGAAGGTTCCTTCTGCCAAGCTTCTGCCTGGAGATGCTAAAGGAGAACTCTCTCCTCAGACGCCCTGTTCAGCTGGATGGCTCTTCTCGGGCAGAAAATCGCAGCCCAAGAGAGGGGGCCAGTGGAGGGAACTGAAGGGTCTGTCTGCGGGGTCTGCCCCGAGCTCCAAAGCCTCAGGACTAGGCCTTCTCACTCTATGAAGCAGTCCAGCCCCCAGCCCCCAGCTCTGGGCTGACACTCACAATACAGAGCAGCTGCTGGCGGTGACCAGCCACCCTGCAGGAGCACTGGCTGGGTGGCGGCAGAACCCTCCGGAGGCAAGAACCCTGTTCTTGCCTGCGCAGCACTGGTGCATTCCCCCTTTATGGTGGAGACTGCGTCCTCTTCCTCCTGGGCACACACTAAAGTCTCCCATTCTCCCTTGCCCTGCGGTGTGGTCACATGACCAAGTTCTGGCCAGTAGGTTCCATGAGTGTCACTCCCGGGCCTCAACCATACAAAACAGAACCTTCACTTCATTCTCCTGCCCACCTGCTGGATGGCATCACTCAGGGTGTCTTTGGAAGCTTCGTGTTAAAGACGACAGCACCTCCACCAGCCCAGGTCCCCGAATGAGCCCATGAAGTAGCACCCCATGCCTGCCACCAATGGGAGCAAGAGAACTACTGTTTCAGCCACTGCCATGTCAGGGCTGTTTGCTGCAGCACACAGCTTACCTTTACTAACACACTCTTCCCATGACCCACTGCCCTGATGCCCTGGGAACACCACCATTCCCCACTCCTGGTTCCTGGGATCCTAGAGAGGGTGGCCTTGTACTTTGGCCTGTCTAGCCTTCCTGCCTGGGGCAAGACCAGCCCTGGGGAGACATTCCTGTAGGGGAATAATAGTGGCCCTGAGAATTGAGGCCAGGCCCAAGGTGGGAACGGACTCTGCTGGTTTCCCACAGGGAGGAATTCTCAAGCCCTCTGCCTGGCCTCACTGCCCCTTGGAAGACTTCTGGGACTTCACTGTTCTGCCTCTGGAGAAGACTGGGTGGGATGGTCTTGCCAACCCAGATGATAGGTTAGGCCAAGTAACAGCTCTCTGCCCCGGGCAGCTGCCCAAGCCTGTGCCCTGGCACATGGCCCCCCACAGAATTCCTCACCCACCCCTTCTCTCTGCAGACAGATGTGTGTGGTTCCCCACTCGGTGCCCCACAACCAGGGACCAAGATGGGGCCTCCAAAGGAGGTAAGGAGAACCTTTGGCAGGTGCTTGAGGACACTGAGTACTCAGAAAGTGGACACAGGAGGGTGGTGTCCCCAAGCCATGGCTTGTCAGAGCGGGAGGGTCCTGCCAGCAGCTGGATTCTCAGAGCAGGATGAGGAAGGAGGGTGTGTTGACCCAACAGAGGGAGCGGGCCCCTGCCCAGTTCTCTCAATAAGGCCACATAAAGCCCAAAGATCTATGTATCAACTGATCATTGTAAATAAAGTGGACCTGCTTTTTCAGCCCTGTCACCACTCCTGCGTTGTGTTTGATGTGAGTGAAAAGATTATCAGAACCCTAAGGACCAAGAGAAGACCCCAGGAAGCCACTCCCTTCAACAGCTGGAGCCAGTTCTCAGAGGCAGGATCGGGGGTGAGGGGGCAGAGGAGGGCTGCCAGGAAGCTGTTCCCTTAACATCAAGAAAAGGAGATAGCAGCAGGTGCCTTGTCTGAAAATCACCTGTGCCAAGCCTTGGAAGCATGCCGGCTGTCTGTCTCAGCCTCCCAGAAAGTCTGTCTGCCTGGGCCCTCAGGTGCAAGTGTCCCTAGGGCATGTGGCAGGGAGGGAGCACTGGGCTGGGGGCGTCTTATCAGCCATGTATCTTCAAGACACCTGAGTAGTCAAAGCATGTGGTATGCACTGGTTCCTGGGGGGTAAAAAGGGAGGCAGGTCGTAAGAAAAGGGGTGGGCAACCCAATTTTCTTTCAGAGCAACTGAAGAAATCTCTCCCAACCTTTATGACAATGTAAGTCTTGAGCTGGGCACTGATCCCAGAGTTATCCAGAGCCCAGGCGAATAGCCTCTGCAGTGGCCAGCAATCAGGATTATTCTGTTTCCTGGAGCTGTTGGGACAGAGGGTACCACTGCCACTTCACCCTGGTGGAACCAAGGCTGCATCAGGGGACTGTGAAGGGGAAAGCTGGGGTTGATG